TTTGAAAACAAGTTAAAAATTTAAAAAGAAAACTCAAATTTGTCGTTTTGGGTGTTTTCAATTATAATCAAGTGAAAATTTTCAAAACACATTTTCAACAATCTCAAAATGAACACTCAAAACACCAAACCCAAAATGAATTCAAAACTCAAAACACAAAACTGAAATACAAAGAGAACAACTCCTAATTATTTTCCTTTCCTTTTTCTCTCTACATCTCTCCCTTTTCTCTCTTCTTTTCTCTCCCTTCTCTATCTTCGAACGTCGTTGACCAATTCAAACTCTGATGATGAAGGAGCTATGTCGGCCGACGCTCTAGCATCGAGGGTTGCTAAGAGTTCTCAGCAGTGTTGCCGTCGCGATAACGACGCGACGTTGCTGTTCACAGCAACATCACATTAGCGACGTCGACACCGACTAGTGCCGACGTAGGTTTTTTGTGTTATTTCTTCCTCTTCCAATATGATCTGCATAGTCGGAGTTTTTGCGGTTGTTGTGATGTTAGTTGTTGGGGGTTTACTTGTTTTCAGTCTGCAAATGGTTGTTTTTAGTGATGGTGAGGTGGTTGTGGTGCGATGGCAATGGTACATTTTATTGGTGGTGGGTTACAAAATAGTGGTGGCGGTGATTGTGGTGCGTTTCTGCTGGAGTGGGTCGGCATTTGTGACATTGTGACCTATTAAATAGTTAATATATGAGTGGTTGGTGGTGGTGGTGTCGGCGGCGACTGGAGATCTAATAGTAGTTGTTGTGGTTTTTATTGACACTGGATTGGATCTAGTGGTGGTATTGTAGTGTTGGTGGTGTTATGGTGCTGTTGTGGTAGTGGCAACAGTAGCAGGGTGATGGTAGTCATAAGTGGCCTTGGTGGTGGTGGTGGTGGTGGTGGTTGTATGCTACCCGCTATTTGGTGTATGCGACCAACTATTTGGTTACGTGACAAACTATTTAATTGTGACCTAAAAATTTGATAATTTGTAATTGAAAAATAATTTGTAATCAACTAATTTGAGAATTTGTGACCGATAAAATAATCTGCGATCAATTAATTTGATAATATGTGACGTTGTCACTTATAAGTATGCACATGTGATAATTAATTGTATAATTGTGATCTTAATATATTTAATGAATAATATATTTTTAATTACGTAATTAATACTTAAGTTTTGAATTTTTAAACTTAAAACTTGAAATTGAATTGTCTATACTTAGCTCCCGTTTTGTGCACATTTTTTAGTCAAGAATGTATTTTTGTTTTTGATGTGATGGAGAATATGTGGTTGAAAAAGAAGGAAAAGTTATTGATGTGCTGAAAAATATGTGATTGAAAATGAGTCGAAAAATGAGAATGAAAAAAAAATAATGTGGACCAAATATGAGCTTAATGTTTGACTTGTAAATTTTCCCCCTTATATTATATAGTGAGTTCGGGGGAATTTCCTAATTTAAGAAAATGAATAACGTTCTTTACATGATTTAATTTCAAGTGAAATTGGCATAAATAGTCCCTAATCTATGGACCGTTGTGTAAATAGTCCCTAACCTTCAAATTTTAACAAAGTCAATCTCTAATATTTTACTTATTGAGTGCAGTTGATTCTTTTGGACGGATTCCATTCAGTTAACTGTTAAAAAGGTCAAACATTTTATACAAAAAAATGCCCATAGGAAAATAAAAAATAAAATTATTGGAAAAGAAAATTTTAGAAAAATAAGACAAAAAAAAAAAAAAGAAGTGATGGAGGAATTTTTTGGGATGGCAAAATTAGTACCAGCCCACCTTTAGGAATCATTTGCTACAATTCTTTTTTTCTAAAATATATAATTTGTCGTATGTACAAAGATAATGATTTATTTATTTTTATTTTTTTGTGTTTTATTTTATATGAAAATTTGATTTCTTACCTTTAATATTCATGCCCAAAATATTTGACCATATTGAGTGGTCTTTTCCATCGAATCATTTGGTGGTCTTATTCGAGAAAATTGGGGATGGACTTCTTGACTTAATTAAAACTTTAAATTTGAGTTCCCCTTGACTCAAATTTATTGACAGGACCATTAGCGACTAACATTCATATCGACAATTTTGAATATATGAGGACTCAAATTCACATATTCAATAAGTTGGAGACCTCACATTGAATGTTGAGGAGTCCAACCCTAGGTTTTCATCTTTTTTATTCCATTAATTGATTTCTGTATTTATTCAAGAGATCTTGTCTATACAATTCAATTTGCATCCCTAAATAATTAGAAACGATATCGTAAAATTAAACCTATTCTAAATTTAGAATACTAAAACAAATAAATAAAAAAACAAATAGTTGGTAAAAATAAGATTCGTAGTTTCCACTGGTAGTAGGTTTCTAGCGTGGCTATGCATAAATCCACCACATTAGAGCCAATTTTTTTTTCTTCCGCTAAAAAAAAGTCAGAAACATTGTATTTATACTGTAATGATCGATTATTCAACAACTACCATGACTTATTGAACATATATCGACTAGTGAAAGCACGGAAAAATTGAACTTCAGTTTTTCAATGTGTGACCTTGTATATTTAAGCATGGTGTTTTGTTCTTGTGAACATCGAGAGTTAGATTTGTTGTCCACAAATGATTGTAACTTTTTGTCATTTACTATTTCGAGATAATAAATCGATTGCTAAAATTTGAGTGAAGTGACAGTCAAATGACAACATTCAGAAACTCTATATCTGTACTATCTTTAGCGTTTTGAAAGTCAACTTATTTTTAAATTTTTGGTCTTCTTTGTAGGATGTGTTTTCGTAACAATCAAATTTTGTATCAAATTATCTCGTCTAAAAACTTAATTACGTCACAAAATTCTCGTTATTAAATTAGTAAATTAAAATTGAAAAAAATAAGACTAAGCATACAAAAGTGTAATTTAGGGCATGTCTGACAAAGTTTTTTTTTATAAAAGTTTAGCAAATTTCTATAAAAATTAATGAAAGTTACTATTAAAAAATTATTAAAAGTTATAAATATCATTAATATGTACTTTAAGGGTCCGTTTGATTGTAAGGGTGGAAAATTGGTGGAAAGAAAATGTTTTGTAGGGAAAAGATTTGCTTAGAAAATATTTTGTAGGGAAAATGATTTTAAGTGTGTTTGATTGGTATAATTTTTCATTCGGAAAATTTTTAAATTTTCTATTCGTTTGGCTTTGTTTTACATGAAAATTGTCCATTAAAATGATAATTTTTTCCACAATTAGTTATAAAATTTGTTTCCATTGCCAAAAAGTTAAAAAAAAAATGAAATTTTTTTCCTAAAAAATCATTTTTTAATCAAAATTTAGTGTTTGTTTGGCTTTATTTTACATNTATGAAATTTATTTCCATTAAAAAAAAAAAAAAAAAAAAACGTGAACTGGGAAAATGAATTCCCACCTATTAGGTGAGAATTCATGTTCCCCAAAAACATGGCAAATAGGCGCATGGCCTCTTCCCCAAGAAAATCAATTCCCTTCCTTTTTTGGCTCATCAAACATACTTTTTCTTGAAAAATGGAAAACATTTTCCCTTTTCCAAGGAATTTGTTGTGTATCAAACACAACTTAAATTGAAATTCCACTTATTAAAGTAATAATAAAAATTTAGTAAAATTTTAGCACATGTTTGGTCCACGTTATTTTTTTTCATTCTCATTCTTCTACTCATTTTCAACCATATATTTTTCAATAAAATAATATTTTTTATCACATCAATAACTTTTCTTTTTTTTTTAACCACATATTTTCCATCACATCAACAGTAAAATGCATTATTACCTTCAAAATATGCACCAAACGGAGGTTAAATAAGATGTTAATCAAGATAAGTTCCACTCATGATAACAGGTGGACTCCCAAACACGCAATGTTGAAATTCTGCTACAATAGCATTTTGTCACTTTTATAATTAAAAAAAAAAAAAACCATATACCTACGACTCCATGCCTTAACCCACCCATTATTAGTCCCATCCCACTCATCAAATCCCAACTGCACCCCACGGCCCACTTAAATTAGATTGGACTTTCTAATTTTTCACGTAGTAATCCTCAACTTTTAAAAGTGTATTTTTAAATATTTGCCTATTCGAATATATGAAAATAAGACTCGTCAACTTGAATGTTCAAATTACAAATGGATTTTAGTCGAACTTGTGATAAAATTTATCTCGCAACAACCAATGGACATGAGGATGCCATAATTTGTACTAATGTCAAGGGTGAAAAAGTCAAACGTTAAATGAACTCAATTGTTCAAACGACGACAAAAAGTCAATATTAATCATTGACTGGAATGACATAGGATCCCCTTTGCCTCGTACCTCGAGCTTGTAGCTTCAGTCACGAAAGTGAATAATGTAAAAGTCGTGTGTAATTTTAAAGTCTTTACTAATGACTTTGGTCGCTTGAAGATTTAGATTCTTTAATTTAAGCACCTATTTGACAATCATTGTTTTGAGAAAAAATAGTTTTGAATAATAATTTTTAGGAGATTATGAAGTTTTGAGTTTACGTGCAAAATATTTTATTGTATGAATTTATGACTGAAATTGAGTATGTGAAAAAAAAGTTTGAAAATAATGATTACCTATAATTGCATCAAGTGAAAGATTAAGGACCCAAACACTAATTTATGCTTCTAATTTCTTCTCTTATCTTTTCTTCTCAAAAACAATGTCCCACCACCGGATTGTGGCCTCCACTGCCTCCTCAAATTTCTAATCTATTTCCACTTCATGCTATTCTCACCCAGCCACTTCTCCCCAAAAAAAACACACCCGTTATCTCAGCCCCCTCCACGTCATCAAAAAAAGATAAGTGTCACAAAAAATCAGTTCACTGCAAGTGAACTTAACAACACCCAAATTCGAGTAAATTAAATGAACCCCCCTCCTCGCATTCCCTTTCCTTCCCATCGCAGTCTCAATGGAGTAATCATTCATTTCTAAAGTTTTCTGCTCATAGCTAACGTGCGCCGATGGAGAACTATTACAATTCTTCGTACCCGGGGTCTGGCGGCTCCTCGCCGCGCTCCCGTGAAATCGACTTCGAGAATCCGCCGCCGTGGGAGGACTCGCAGAACAATCAACTTCCCCCAAATTATAAAGTGAAGTTCATGTGCAGCTATGGCGGCCAAATCCACCCTCGGCCGAACGACAATCAGTTGTCGTACATAGGAGGAGAGACTAAGATCTTGGCCGTTGATCGGAGTGTTAAATTCAGCTCTCTACTGTCAAAGCTTGTTGTGTTGTGTGACAGTGATAATATTTCGTTTAAGTATCAATTGCCAGGTGAAGATCTGGATGCTTTGATTTCGGTGACTAATGATGATGATTTGGAGCATATGATGCATGAGTATGATCGGTTGTACAGGGTGTCTCCAAAGCCATCGAGGCTGAGGATTTTTATTTTTACTTCCCCTAATCAGTCTTCGAATTCATCGGTTCGGAGTTTCGGGTCTGATGATCCGAAGTCAGAAAAAGAGAGGTTCGTGGAAGCGTTGAATTCTGGACCGGTTATGACGGCTCCGCCGCCGGCGGTGGTGACGGCTGTGTCTTCTCAGCCACCCCCGGCTAACAATAATGTGGACTACTTGTTTGGATTGGAGAAAGGGGTTGGTATGGTGCCTCAGCCACTGCAGAAGGTTGAGGTAGATGACCGTTTTGAAGAAAGGTCGATGGGGACGGATCCAATTCAGCAGCACATTCGGGATCTTGAGAGGCTGAGAATTGAGGAGCAGCAGGGAGTGTACAGAAGAAGAAACGATGAAAATCCAGCGGGAGGATTTGCCGGAGGCGATTATTACAAGGTGCCGGAGAAATTGCCGCCAGTTTCCGTTCCTAGTGGCCCTCCTGGGTACTGGCAGGAGAAGCAATTTGCTGGAGGAGTTTTCCCGTCGAGCACCCTCAACGCTGAACAGCCAGTTTACATGATTCAAGCTCCGGCAGGCGCGTACCACGCGCCGATGATGAGACCTGTTAGCGGACCAGCCGGTCAGGGTTACTACACAGTTCAGAGGATGCCATCGGAGGTTTACCGTGATCATCAGGCATACAACGCTATTCCGTCGGCAGCAATGGCCCAACAAACTATGCCGCCACAAGCGGCTCCGAAAATGGCTGGATATTCCGAAGGTTACGGAATGATGAGACCTGTAACGGAGGCTGGGTACGGGCAATTCGCGTACGATACAGGGATGGGGAGGCAGGTGATGTACACTTCGCCAGGAGGAGTAATGACGGCCCCGCCAATGCAACCGGCGCAATATCAAGCCATGGGTGCTGTTAGTGGTGAGATGAGACAAGCTGAAGCAGGGGGTAAGGTGGTTAATAAGGTTACACAAACTTGAGTGTGATTAATATGAAAATTATGATATTTATGTCTTTACATATATCTGCTATTTACTTGAAAAGTGTTTAATTTGGAGTGTTAAGAATCAATTTGGTAAAATCTGTGTTTCGTATATTGAAGTGAGATTCGAATCAGTTTCTATTGTTATATGTTTCCATCCTTTTTATCGAAAGAACTCTTTATACGAACATTAAGTAATAATCTTTGAGGAATTAGTTCGTTTAGCTGGACTTCTATTCCCTTTTTTTTTCTTGGATAACCGTTGTCTGTGGACCAGCTTGCGCGCACCTCGACTAATTTCACGAAATCTTGAAGTTTACGGCTGGATACTCATCTAAGTGGTCTTGAGAGGATTCGAACTGATGACCACTGGACTTCTCTGCAAGCAGAAGAGATTCACGAGGAATTTATCTTAAATCAATTTTTTTTTTCTAAAAGCTCTGGTAATCGGACAAAGTATTTTTAGAAAATTATCAAAATATTTTAAAAAATGGCCTATCCAATTTTAGAAATAGATTTCGACTTTTGAAGAGCTCTTGACGAATGGCTAAATTGGTGCTAAGCATCATTATTTTTGAATGCATCAACCAATTATAATCAACGTTGAATTATTTTTACCCCCACAACAAATTACATCCTTTTCATGGCAAGGCAGGCTGGATCAATGATTGAAGTGAGTTAACCGCAATTCATGGTGTCTGCACTATGATAGGGGAAATTTTGGTTTTTTAATAATAATTTAAAGGTCTGATTTTAAATTTTAATATAACCCTAGCAGGCTGTAATTGAACATGGTCCAGTTGATTTACACAATTTATTGGATGTAATCTATGTACAAACTATTAGCATAGAAAAAATCACACATTTTTATGCATACTCCATAGATTACACCTAAATATTCATAAAACATTTCTTTGGCAGTCTTTATTCGGAAACTATTCCATCCAATTCTCTTTATTGTTTTCGATTCATTCTTACGAATTCTAAGAATCTAAATTCAATAGAATCGACATCGAAAAGGGATAGTAGATTCTTGATAAAAAGGTTTGGGTATAGGATGGTGACTAATAGATCACATTTCCCTTGTCTCACGTAAATGTTTGTCTTTGTGCAATTAGACAACTCGCAATATATTGGGCATCTATTGAAAATGATGTTATCTTAATGGATTTTGGAGTATTAGTGGTAAAAATTTGAGAATTGCCAATCATGTTACCTCTTCATTTACAACTAGTTCTTATCTCACATTTTTTTTTTTTTTATATAAAGTGAATATTTATTTGGAATTTGTATTGTCCTTTGATATAGTTAGAGGTTGAGGAGTAGTGGAGTACGGGGTATTAAGTTTGGAAGACTTGTGACGATTAATACATATTACCTAATTATTATTGAGATAAGCATGTAACAACCACAGCAACAACGATTTCCACAAATTTGTCGCATCAATGGCCCCGCCATTGCAAATCTTACATTTTTTCCCCTTCTTTTTTTAAAGCAAATTCATGTAAATTTGTGAAAGTAATCATTATTTTATTACAATTTAAGTAATTTGTTTGATGTATATTCTTTAAATTCGATCCGTATGTAGCCTTCAAACGTTAACCGGTCGAGCATGTTTTATGAAGTCCAAGAAAATGTCAAGTTACTTTTTGAGTAATTTTTATCCCAAAATAAGTTTATATAACCTACTGTTTTAAATTTTATGCACAAAATTTTAACTTTTAAAGTAGTTTTTAGATTACTACTAAATAAAAATTATTTATTTGAAGCTTAGCCAAATAAGCAACAACTTGGCCTATTGGAGAATTTGTTATATTATTTCCCACTTGAATTCAAATCCTAAGTCAAATTAATAGAACCCACAGAAAATTTGTTTGATGTTTAGTGTTTATTCCTTACTATCACTAACATTATTTTGTAAACACATCATTTAATATGATTTTTAGAATATGTCTTACATGGAAATTGAAGCACAATGTGTCATATCCAATCTTACATGTGAAATTAACCACTTACCTAACAAGTCCCAAATTAAAAGAATGGCCAATAAGAAAATTATGTAATTGATTAACTAAATGCAAATTGAACCTATGTTACATAAGTAAACATCAGGACAAGTTTTTAGCACGACAAGGCTAAAAGTGTATTAACTTACATATCACACCATTAGCCACGATAGATAGACAAAAATTTAACAAAAATTAAATATCAAAAAGTTGGGTAAGATTTAAGAGTGAGTTTCAACAAGATAATTTTGGCACTCAGAGAATATCGCATTTAGAAACATAAATTGTCATTCTGGTCATGTTGAGTACTACGTATTGAACAATGTATGAAACAATCTCTCATCATTGATATACATAGCCCTATGTAGCCCATTAATTTTCAATCTTGAGATAATTACATATTTGTTGGTGTGTGATTCAATTATGAACGAGAATCCAAAAGTTGCTTATCCATATCCTGCTTATACTCATCACGTTACTACACATCTTTTCTCTATATTAAATATGTGTTTGATGGATATTATTGAAAAAAGAATGTATTTTAAATAGTAATACGATGAAAAATATGTGATTAAAAAGTAAGGAAAAATTATTGATGTGATAGAAAATATTATTTTATTGAAAAATGTGTGGTTGAAAATGAGTTTTGAAATAATGTATTTTGAAAAAATGTGTGTTAAACATAGGCTAANTAATACGATGGAAAATATGTGATTAAAAAGTAAGAAAAAATTATTGATGTGATAAAAAATATTATTTTATTGAAAAATGTGTGGTTGAAAATGAGTTTTGAAAGAATGTATTTTGAAAAAATGTGTGTTAAACATAGGCTAACTTTTTGTTTTTTAAAATAAAAAAGCCAAATTACTTATTGCAAAAAAATAATAATAATAATTATTATTATTATTATTTGGCCATTTTGAAACTTGGATTGGCAAAATTAACATGTTTTTATGAAGGGCCATTGTTAAAGTCGCTACATGTTGCGTTTTTTCTATCGTAAGTGTACGATATCGTAACAAGTAATATAGTTGATCTTTGAATCCGAACTATCGTTCCCATGAGAGCTATGCTTTAGAACTTAATTAAATTTTGGGATAATTGCAGTAACGGTACCAAACCTTTCATTTATTAGCAGACTTTGCTCACACTTTTCATTTGTGACACCCACAGTACCAAACATTTCAAAATGTCGCAGCTGAAGTCCAAATGGATAATTTCCATTAATTTGACCGTTAATTGACCAAATAATTGATTTTGACAATTATTTTGACTAATTTTAAAAGGTTAAAATAGTAAATTTACATTGTTTTAGAATAAAATAACTAAAATCAAATAATTAAAATTAAAAACCAAAAATCAACTGCATTTTCTCCATCCACTACCACTATTGCCATCTCCTTCATCTTAATCAAAAACTATCGTCTACTCACCACCAAAACCATCACAAGTGACGACATACTTGAAGATCTAAGAGGAGAGAAACACAGGTTTCTTCAAGTTGTGTATGGAGGCCTGTTGATTCCCTTTACCATGAAGAAGGAAAATGGGGAGAATTTGAAAAAGAGAGTTAAAAACTCAGCTTTAATGGTGGAAATTTGTCCCATTTTCCTAATTTGTTAACAGAACAAGATTTGTTTTGGGAAGATTAAGACGTTTAACCCAAACACTTGACAATCCCCTCGGCCGCAAATTTCCCAAAAATAGTTCAAATTTTATGGTTAAGAAGATGATTACGTTTAACCCAAACACTTGACAATTTTTGTTTCCAAATTTCTAGTAATTTCTCCCAACCGATAAGTTTCCAAACTCCGTTTTTCCACTTCTTTCATTCGCTTCTCTAACTACTATATACCATGAGTGTTCTCAATTTTGCACCAGCACCACTATCCACTTCCTTCAGTTCCAAATCCGTCGGTTTTGAATCGAACGGTTGCCAATTCAGCAAATTCCTCTTCTTCTTCGGCACCAGAAAATCCTCCCAGTCAACTACTCTTTCATCTCCCTAGTTGTCCTATTATTCTACTGTGTCAGCTGCTGCGTTACAGAATAAAAGCAAAGATAATGGTTTTGGTGGTGGTGGGGTGTGTGGGTGTGGATGGAGAATATGAAGAGGGTGTTTGGTAGAGATTAAAATCGGATTAAAATTGAAAAATTAGTCGTTATTGTTGACTTTTATTAGATGAGTGGGACCCAATAACGACTATATTTTTAATTTTAATTGGATTTTAAGTCGTATCANGCCTATATTTTCAATTTTAATTGGATTTTGAGCCGTACCAAACAGGCTCGAAGTTGATTTTTGGTTTTAAATTTTAATTATTTTATTTTAGATATTTGATGCTAAAACAATGTAAATTTATCATTTTAACCTTTTAAAATTAGTCAAAGTCAATTATTTGGTCAACTAACGATCAAACTAAATGAAATATTCCATTTGGACTTCAATTGAAACATTTTGAAATGTTTGGTACGTGGGTGATACAAACGAAGGATTTGAGTAAAATTTGTTAATAAATGAAAGGTTTAGTATCGTTGCTGCAAATATCCCATAAAATTTTCTAACTTCTATTTGATGAAAGCAAACAAAGAATTATATGTTGTGCGTTTTTTGTTTAAATACTTGAAATTAATTAAAATGCACACAAATATTGATTGAGAATTCAATGATGGAAGGATATTAAGCCAGACAATTTCACATATTCATCACCTTGAAGTCATAATTGAAGACAAGATTCTAATGTAGTTTTCGATCAAATGCTACCTTAATTAAACGAAATATTTATTCTAAAAATTCATATAATGATCACAATATTTAGTATAAGTATCCTTATACGTCATACTAATATACCAAATTTTAAAAGATTCCCAAAATCATTAAATTAGTGATCAAGTAATTTATCGCATTAAACTCATAGCAAAATCAATACATGTATGATAAAACAAGAATTTTGAATAAAAGAAATATATGGTCTCAAGTAGATTACATCATTCGCTCTAATATAAAACTTAGCTACTTATAATGATGGAATAAGAAAAACAAGAAGTTATTGAATACATCACCGGATTTTGAATAATGATGTATAAAAAGAAATTAATCTTGTACCTAGTGGTGTCAACGAGTCGAGCTGAGCCGAGCTCGGCTAAAAAAAATGAGGCTCTTCCCAAGCCTTAGTGGGCCGAGCCGGCTCGGATTTTTTTTTTAAATCTACATTTAAAAAAAAATTGTACATTTTATGCGTGTTATAAATTAAAGAAATTATAAAATTTAAAACCCTCATATTTTATTCGGGCTTGGGATAGGCTACAATTATCGTGGCGTGGTTAAAATTGTACACGCATAAAATATTTCGTGTACAATTTTTTTTGAAAAAAAAATTAAAAATTACGT